GTGTGGGTGTGTAGGTTTTCTTTTGGGGGTGAACAGAAAAGAGGGCAGGGTGGAAGACACGTTTTTAGGACAGAAGATCTGGTCTGATAGGTAAAGAGGAATACAAAAGAAAGGATGGTTCAAGATCCCCACTTTAAGAAGAGGGCCTCCCAAACTAATGTTTCAGATCTTTTTGCCTGGTGCAGAACCTTCTGTCAAAGATGCTTTGGCTATTTTTCTCTCAATACAAAAAGAAGTTTGTAAACAAAACCCCAAAGAACAGGGAGAAAGACCAATACATTATATTTACACAAACTAGGCCACCTAGCAATCACCAAATTAGTGAAGTCCTACAAAGCCCAGACAAATACAATAACTAGAGGGGGGCGGTATTTAGGGGAGACAAGAACCCGGGATCAGACACACACCACCCAATGTGTTCTATTGCATTTGTCCCGTTTCAACACAGTGAGGTAGGTTTGCGGGTGATCTCACAGCATGTAAACGAAACCCCCTTTTCTCCTTTAGCTACCATGACACTACTAATCACTACTGCAGCAGGGCAGGACACGGGCCCCAGGCACCACAAAGCCCTGCTCGTGTGTCTTCCTGGAACCCAAGAATTTTGACAGGTTAAGGATTTTAGACCTTACTTCATATAGCCATCCCTTGACAGCACAGGATTAAGTACAGGGGTACTGGTCTTAAAACTTATCCTTGCCAACTCTGGTTTTATGAACACACACACCCTGTTGTGCATGGCAGGCCTCATCTAATCTGGTGAAGAGTGGATCTGGGATGTAAAGCACGTCCTGTGCCCTAGGATTAGACAGCCCTCACCTAATCTTGGCTTCCTCTCTGGGCCTTTCACCTGGCCCAGCCTCTCCTAGCCTCTGCACCACCATTTCCTATTTAGACTAATTTCCAATCTTCCAGTAGGAGGCAATCAAGTCATGGGGCAACCCAATTAAAACCTAGTCTCCCATAAAACATTTTCAAGGCAGAGGGGGTTTCAAAAGGACACTATGGCAGAAAAGCCGGCTCTCATTGGCAAAAATGAGGTAGTTCAATAGGCTGTGCACTCCAAATAGTTGCTCTCCACAATGGCAAAAACAACAAAAAGTATCCCTGCTGTGCAGACCTGGAGCTACTGCCGACTTATCCCTGAGATTGCTCATGTGCCTGAGAACACAGTGCAGGAAATGAAGGCCTTAGATTAAAATATACAAAAATACAAAACCAGAATATTTATATTAAGGAAAAAAAAAGTTAAAACGCACAAGATACGTCATTCGCACACAGCTAGTGCAGTTGGCATCCTGGAGAAAGTGGGACCCAAGATGGAGTATCCAAGGGAGCAAGTAAATAAAATCACATTGACCCAGAATGGGGCGGGGTGAACACAGGTGCAGCAGGTCTGCAGCTATTTCCCCAAACACCCTTTTTGCCATCATCACTACCCATTGCTTGGGACAGTTGCCAGCACCCTATCCCAAAAGCGGGTATGAGGATATAAGATGTGGGAAAAAAAACTGCCTTATTCCTGAGAGATTCCCTTCCACAGAATGTAATGGCTTGGCTCCATGAATCTGGTCTTATACTTAATCATTTCACTCTGGCATGGGAATTATTATTATACATCCTTCTTTAAAAGGAAAACAACTTCCCTATCCAGGCCACTTTCAAAAGCTGGAAATTCTGGGGATGGAGCCTCAGATAAAGTGTGCAGGTTGTAGGGTGATTCCCTCCTCCTGGTCGCCCCCAGAACCCTCACTTGCATTTGGACAGAGCATGGATGGAGTTCCTTTGACTCACCCTTCCCCTCGACCTAGAGGGAAGAAAGGGTGATGGTGTGAACCCCAGTCTGAGATATATGGCAGTGCCAACTAGCCCCAATGCACCCTATTCCCACTTTCTCCACTCTGCCTGCTCCTCGAAACTTCCTGATAGCAAAAGAATAGCCCCCACCCATTGGGGCTCAATTCTGGGCCTCCGGGAGCAGGACAGGGCTGTGGATTTCTTCTTCTTCCTCCCGAAAGTATGTTGGCTTTCCCTGTGCGCTAGGGGCCTGCTGGGCCTTCAGTGGACATGAGGCTACCATATGGCTGATGCTCTGGCAGAAGTGGCACTTCTTGGGCTGGGGTGGCAGCTTGCATTCCTTGGCATGATGGTCTAGACCTCCACAGTTGTAGCACCTGTCTCCTTTTGATCTGCGCTTCTGCATGATCTTCCCCTTTGGCCGCCTCTCACTCCCAATACAGAACACCCCACCAGGTCCAGTGACACGGATGGATTCCAGACCCTTGGCTGACTTCTTAAAGGTGAACTTCACGGCCTCACCCTCCTTCAAGCTCCGGAAGCCCTCCATGTGCAGCTTACTCTGGTGTACAAAGACTTCCACTGGGGGGTCGAGCGTGACCCCGGCGCGGGCGGTCATGGACAGAAAGCTGAACCCCATGCGCAAGTTGAACCACTTACAGATGCCTGCACCGTGCAGCAGCTGAGGCTCGTCCGCTGCCCGGGCCGCGTCCTCTGGTGCCTCCTCGGGCGCCTCTTCTGCCGCCTTGGCGCAGCCACCTGCAAACTGTTGCTTGGACACGGAGCCCAAGGTAGTCGGCTGAGCCCGTGGCCCCGGGTCCCTGGTTGGGCGGCTGCTGGCCCCAGAGAAGTCCGAAGGCTATACATCTATCTTTAAAAAATCTACCAGTTTGAGTGAAGCATAGAAAACTTACCTCCTTTTATGTCCTTTTGCCCTTCTCCCATTTATAATTGTCTTAAATATTTCTTCTATATACATTGAGAACGATATCAATGCTATTTTTTCTTCAACCATCAGTCATAATTTGGAAAATTCAAAAGGAGAAGCAAAATCTATTGTATTTACCTATATAACTTTCTTTTTCCACTGGTCTTTTTCCCTCCAGATAGTCAAAGATTCCTAATTTCTCATTTTCCTTCTATTCCAAGAGGTTCCTTCAGAATTTTTTTAGGTTATGTAGATCTGGTAGTGACAAATTCACTTAGTTCTTCTTCTGAGAACGTTTGGGTTTTCCTTCGTTCCTTAAGAATATTTTTGTTGAAAATGTAATTTGAGGTTGACAGTTCTTTCCTTCCAGCTCTTGAAAAATGTTGCATACAGTTCCTTCTGGTCACCATAGTTTTTGATAAGAAATTTGTTGTCTTTAAATTCTTTTTCCCCTATAGGCAATGTGTTGTTTCTCTTTGGCTGCTTTCAGAATTTCTGTTTTTATCTTTACTTTTCAGAAATTTTACTGTGATGTGTCTTGTCATGGGTTTCTTTGGGTTTATTATGTTTGGAGTTTATTTGATTCTTGAATTTGTGGGTTTATGTGTTTTGTCAAATTTTGAAAATTTTCAACTATTATTTCTTTGAATACTTTCTCAGTTCCTCCCTCTTTTTCTCCTTTCCTTCTGAAATTCAAATAACATAAATTTTAGGTCTTTTGTTGTTGTCCCATAGGTTCCTGACACACTATTTTTTCCCACCAATTTTCCCTCTGTTATTCAGATTTTGTCATTTTTATTATTCTGTATTCAAGTTCGTTCCTCTATCTTCTCCATTCTGCTGTTGGGTTCATTGTCGATATTTTGAAGTTAACTATTTTGTTTTTTAGTTCTAAATTTTCCATTTGGCTCTTTTTATATATTCTATTTACTTGCTGAGATTTTTCTGTTTCTTTGCTGAGATTTTCTATTTTTTGTAATTTTTTAAAGTGTGGTTATGATTGCTCATTGAAGTATTTTTATGATAATTGCTTTAAACTCTTTGTCAAATAATTCTAACATCTGTCATGGTGTTATCATCTGCTGATTGATTTTTATCATTCAAGTTGAAATCTTGGTTTTTGTTTTTTTGGGGTTTTTTTTGGCATGTCAGTGATTTTCAATTGAAACTTGGACATTTTGGGATATTATGAAAGTCTACAACTTATTTAAATCTCAGGTTTTAGAAGGCCTCCTCTGACACCACTCTACAGGTGAAGGATGGTGCCACTTTATTACTTCCAGGTGGGTATGTAGTTCAGATTCTCACTCAGCGTCTGTTGATATCTGGCAGAAAGGGACTCCTTGTTACTTCTGGGTGGAGGGGGGAATTTAGTGAGATGGTGTTATTCCTTGGGCTTCAAGATCCCTAACTGTTTTGCCATTTTTTCTGCACCTTTTAGATACTTCTAAATTTTTGTTCCACATAATGTTCAGGATTTTTAATCTGTACTTAATTGGAAGAATATGAAAATATATGCCTATTCCATCTTTCCGAAACATAAATTCGGGCATTATTTTTTGGGGTGATTAAAATGTTTTAAATTTATATTTTAGTGATGACTGTACAGTTCTCAACATATTTAACACCATTGAATTGTATGCTTTCAATGGGTTATTTTACAATATGTAAATTATATCTCTATAAAACAGTTAAAAGTCAAAAAACAAAAACAAAGAGAACTGAGGTCCACGAGCAGTGGCTTACACCTGTAATCCCAATGTTTGGGAGGCTGAGGCAGGTGGATCACTTGAGGTCAGGAATTTGAGACCAGCCTGACCAACATGGCGAAACCCTGTTTCTTCTAAAAATACAAAAATTAGCGGGGTATGTATGCACATGACTGTAATCCCAGCTACTTGGGAATCTGAGGCAGGAGTATGACTTAAATCCGTGAGGTAGAGGTTGCAGTAAGCCAAGATTGCACCACTACACTCCAGCCTGGGTGGCAGAGTGAGACTCTGTCTCGAGAAAGAGAGAAAGAAAGAAGGAAGGAAGGAAGGAAGGAAGGAAGGAAGGAAGGAGGAGAGAGAGAGGAAGAAAGAAAGAAGAAAAGAAAGAAAGAGAAAGAAAGAA